TTCAAAGAGCAAGGTAAATACATACACTGAGATAATTATCCCTACAAATTTCATAAACTGCATCGTATGAACGCATGCAAATACAAGCCTGAATCAATTTCATAATTATCTTATGTTTTCATACGTCTATAGTAGTCATAATTTGATACAACAAATGGTATACGAAAAACATTAAAATTTAATAAACACATCGTATGAATTACTTTGGTTCAGCTTACGTGGCGCAAGGCTCCGTAAACCTGTAAGTAAATTAAATTTGTATTTTTTAATTGTATGTAGTCTACAACTTTATTTACATTTGTAGACAGTTAAGTAAGCTGCTGCAGCTACTTCTGCTTTATCGATTTCAAAAGCACGTTGGAAGAGACAACCGGATCGGGTAAGTGTCAGATTTATTTTTTGTTTTTGTTTTGATAATTTGATACCATTGTAAATTTTTTTTGAACAGGAATCGGACACGAGTACAACAAAACTACGCGCAAAATCGTAAGCATAAAGTTCTCAGTTGGTTCGTTATTTTTTACAATACCGAAGGTGATCCAGCCCCGAGCTAAAAGCCTCCCTAATAAAGAAAACCTAACCTAACTTTACAATTTTTGTCTACAGAAAAAAAATGGCTGCTCGAGGACTTCATTTACCCTCTGACGATAATAGGTAAAGGTATTGTCAAAACCGTCATTTACCCTATGTGATTAGGTGAATAAACACTATACCTAAAAATCCAAAACCAATTTTTTTAGTTCAATCAGCCTATTCTACTCGCTAGTAAGGTGATGTAATTAGTGAATTGATCCTAGTCACGTCGTGGAGTATCAAGCCACCACGCGATAACTATTGTCACTTCACTCACCATGCACAATAGGTCTCAATATAAAAAATATAATAAATAATTGCTTGGTTTAACGACTTTCTCAGTCTTAATCTCACTCTAAAGACTACGATTTAATCTGCCCGACGCTTCGGTCATAGGTTTTAGTTCATGGTCCATGTTCGAAACGTCGGGCAGATTAAATCGTTGTCGTTAGAGTGAGATTAAGACTTAGAAAGCCGTTAAACTAAGCAAATCACTCAAGTACTAGTCGTCACCATCACTAATATAGTAATTAATCAACACAAACTATATTTTTCATTCATATCCTTTATGAGTTTCATACGAAATGACAAATGAAATTGATCGTAATATCCAATGATAGCTATCGTTCGTTTATATTGAGACTCATATGCATGAAAAATCATATGATGGCTGATTGACAATAAACTGACAGTTCTTCATAGTTCGGTCGTATGAAATTCAACATAAAATCTTATCGCAAAAAATCATACGATATTTCTATGAAATTCGTTTGAATAATAATCTCAGTGAGTGAAGGTTGTTATGAATAATTTCATGAAAGACAAGATATATATAGGATGATAGGTGTAAGCATTTCCATAACAGGTAATGAACGATAAGTTGTATTATGTGAATGCTAGGGATTCGCGGGCGATCGCGTGCATGCACGGGAAGCTTGATGTGCTTTCGATCGATCACCTAGAGCGAATGGGTATTTGGCCCTGTCGACGGCATTCTGGGCATATTCGAATATGGAAGAACGAGTGGTTAGCGAGGATTTTGATTTTATGTGACGGAATTTGGGAAGTGCTTCCGAGCCAATCGGTAATGGATTTTTTTCCGACAGAGATTGAAGAAGTAGGTTTGCATAATAATACACAAAGAAAACTTGCCTTATTGCGATGGCTTATTGTATTTTATATCTAATCATATGTGCGTAGATACGACAATGTACCATCCGACAGCGAAAGCTTGCTCTTCTCTCAGGCAATCAGCCATACCACGCATGTTCTTCTCCATGATTTTAATATTGTCGCTTGTCAACCGCCCAAGAGACTGACTGCAAAGATTTGGAATCTTGAGAGTATTTTTTAGGTGGAAGTTTATCGCACCGTACTCTTCCTCCAGATTACTCCAGGAAAAAATCTTAAACCAATGGAGACACAGAAACATATGATACTATTTTTAGTCAGTTACTTCCCAACAAACAATTTTAGCTGCAGATTAGCTTATACTGCCAAAATTTGCCTTATGCAGCTAATTTTTGCCTGTATAAGCTGAGCTGCAGCTAAAATTGTTAGTTGGGTTACCACATCTTTATTGGAATGACTAACCCCTTGGGTCAGATGAGTATTCAGAGGCCATGTAGTGAACAAATACAGTATCCCCCCAGTAATTCGACGACTCGATAATCCGGACACCGTTAATCCGGAAAATGTCCGATTAAAAAGCATAAACACGCGTTTGAATTCATTGTGCTGTCTGTTTTTTGAGTATGGATTTGGAAGGCAGATTTTTTTCGGATTACGGAGGGATACTGCAAATTAATTCAGGTTTTACCTCTCAGCATGTCCTTTTTACATAAGAATCAGTTGATAGAAACGAGAAATTCAATTCATAGCTTATAGCGAATTCGTTTATTATTCAGTTACAACCTGGATCGGGTATCAAGATCAGCGTTGCCAGATATACCGATGTCCGAACTAGATACCGATATACAGATAAGGTCTCAGAATACCGATTTTTGAGGCATAAAACCTCATACCGATTTATACCGATTTTTTTTAAATAAACAAAATGATTTTGCCTGCCCGCGCTCAGAATTTTTTTATAAAATTATTGTGAGAGATTTGTATCATTTTGAATTACTCAAATTTTTTGAGCCTTTAAAATTCTAAAAAAGAATCATCCTCAAAAATGTCTTATAGATACTCTGTCGATTAATGTTTCAATTTTCTCATCGTTTTTGGCTACCCATGAATCGATAAACAGTCGATGGCTCTTTCTGGTAATTCCAGGGAAATCGGGAAATACTTTTTAAACATTATTTAACTTTCTGAATTTTCTTCCAACTTTCCCTGGAATTTTCTTCCACCTTACATCGTAAATTATTTTTCGATTCATCTCGGAAACTTATTTCGACTTCCCTTGAAAGCTTCTTCAGCCTTCGATCGAATGGTTCTTCCATCTTCTCCCGCCAGTTTTTTTTTCAACTTTCCCGGAACTTCAGGAATGCTTCCAGATTTTGATTGCGGATCCACACTAGCTGCAGGAACTTTTAAGAAGTTCAGAAACTTTAGAAAAGTCCAGAATGTTTCAACAACTTCTGCTAAAATTCTAAAACCCGGTCAAGCGAACTCCAATGAACTTAAGGAAACATCATAAATATTTTGGATACTTCACAAGTCCAAAGAACTTCTGGAAAATTTAATGGTTTTCAGGACAGTTCAGTTTCAGGAGAATTGAGAGTACTTTAGGAAGGTCCGAGAACATCAGGACAGATCAATAAATTTTAGCAATGTTCCGAGAGGCTCATGCGAATTTAAGAAACGTAAGTTAAGTTACATGTACACATTGTGAGAACATATTATGGGAAGTTCCGTGCTTATGGCAGTGTTGATAACTTTTAAAAATTAGAAAAATCGGAAAGATCAGAGAACTTTAATGCTGATGTTACAATAGAAAGAAAGAAAATTGTGAGAGCGCTGAAGAAATTTCGTAATCTTCAAGAAAGTCTAGAGACCTTCAAAGTTGATTAGAGATATTCCGGCATTCTCATTATAATCAAGGATGTTCCAAGTATTTAAAAAATGATTGGATTGCTCCAAGACAGCCCTATTAACTTAAGGAAAATTACAGGAATGGGAATTTCGAGGAAATATGGAATATTCCTAAGTACATTTCAGAAATGTTCTAAAAACTTCAGGGGAATTCCGGGGTCTTCAGGGATGTTTTATGACCATTTGGAAAATTTTCGCTCATTAAAAACTCATTAAATAAAACATCCCCCAAGAGCTCTTTCTTCCGGAATTACGTCCTTGTTTCTTTCGACTGTTCCGTTAGCGCTCTGGCTTCTGACTTCCTCCAGATTATTTTTGCCAATCTACCTTAGGAAGTGTCTTTCGTCTTCTCCAGGAAGTTCACTTAAACTTCTCCCAGAAATTTCTTTCTTCTTTCTCTGGATGTTGTTTTCAGCTTCCTACAGAAGCTAATTCAAACATTCCCCGGAGTTTTCTTCTGGAATTTTCCGATCATTGTCCAAAAGTTTAAACTTTCGCTTTCAAAAACGGCAAAAATATAAAATAAATTTGAATAGTAAATACCGATAAATACCGATTTTTTAAAACCTTTGATGCCGATAAGCTTTAAAACATTCTGGCAACGCTTATCAAGATTGGGTTTGCTTGTTTTCTAAAAAAAAAACGTCAGTTTGCTTAGATTGAGGTTCACACTGACAAAAAGTTCGGTTTCGCACTGAAATGTTTGTTTACGTTCCATGCTTTACGTTTATCTTTACCGTAGGTCCGCCATCTTGGATTAAAAATGGTAGAAAACATCGATTTTAATCATCTATTCGCTGAACTCATTCCGTAAATGGCTTGAGATGTGTATTCGCTGTTCAGTGGCCGCCATCTTGAATTCGGATCCACCATCTTCGATTGAAATCCAATATCTTTATTAACGATTTGCCATCTTGAAAAGCAGAATGTCCCAGATTCCAAGAATTGCCATAGAGGCTTCGTAAAAGCCAGTCCCGTTTCACAAAGAGAAAAAAACTGTTTATAAGTCTAAAGCAGTCAAGAGAAGTGCTCCCGCTGTTCCGACTTGTGCGTGGAGTGTAATTTAGTTGCATTTTGCATAATTTGAGTAGCATTCCATCGCTGGCGGTCGGGATTAAACGGAATCCAAGTTGCGATTCGAACCCACTAAAATCGCCCAAATCACAACCTTCGGTTCTCTAATTGAAAATTCTAACTACACATAGTCCACACGAGTAAAGCCACTTCGAGTAAAGCCACTTCACCTCACACAAAAAGCGATCAATAAATCTCAAATCCCACTCACATCCCGTGCACACTGAACCGACTGAAGGGCATAATTGAATCAAAACACTTGAGTTAAGCTAACGTTACGAAGACGATGACGACGAGGACAATGCCTGGCTTACCTTGTATCCGGAAGTGGTGAGGCCGGCGTTTCGCTTCGCCAGCACGCACTTCATCCGTAGGAAGAACGTCCGCTCGATCTCGATGGTTTGTGACTGCTGGTTGAAGGGGTGGTGGTGATGGTGATGGTGATGGTGATGATGGTGGTGGTGCGGGTGTTGATTGTGGTGGTGGTTCGGCGTTGGTGGTGGAATATTCGGTGTCAGATGGGGTGGGGGAACTTGTCCGGCGGAGGGTGAAAGTCCGGGTGGGACCTGTGGAGGTGGCCCAAGGTGCGGTTGTATGCTGGATGGAGGTATGCTTAGACCGGGGGATATCGAGGGAGGGCAGCTCATGGTCTGTGGAGGCGAATCCGATGTTGGTCCTTGACTGACGATGGTTGCAGTCGGTGCTGCTATCAGGGGAGTTATGATGGCCATTGGCGGTGGATTAGACGAGGACGAAGGCGGCGGCGGTGGTGGCGGTGCTGGCGGAGCAGCAGGCGGCCCAAACATGTTCGGTTGCAATGACAAGACCGATGTCATCTCGTCCTGGTCGTAGTTGTGGATGTACTCGTAGATGGAGTTGCCCGTCAGCTCTACCTGGCTCAGGCCCAAGTGCACCGAAGCCGTCTCGGAGATGTACATTATCTTGCCGTCGGGAGCCACCACGAAGATGAACCCATCGAGCGTCTGCAGCAGATGAGAGCCCAGCTCTTTGATGGCCATGTCACGTGGATTGGTCGGTATGTGCTGCGAACCCCAAGCTTCCCCCAGGCCTGCGAAAGGGAGGACATAATTAGAAAGGAAAACAATCTCAGTGGCGCTAAGTGGTATTCATCATGCTCTGGGTTTGCTTCGTCATTAAACGGATAGGTGCAGGTACATATGAGTGTGTGTGTGTGTGTGTGTGCAAGGCAGACTGATCCACTTCAGAATGTGTTTTTATTTGTCAGCATAATTTTTATCACTTTGTTCGCTTATTATTTCCCCCTTTGTTATTATTGCTGTGTAGTAAAAGCCGGCCGGGGTTGGATGGATGGCTGGCAGCAGGACCCTATTAGCGAGCTCAGCAGGAAGTGACGAAGCGTGGGATGACAACGGAAGCATACGTTTGCTCTAAAGAGCTTGAAATAACAAGAGACCGTAGGCCACCGTTGTTTTTGGGGTGGATTTGAGGGATTGAGAGTTTCCCCCTTGAGGCATTTTCCGCCGGGTGGTCGCTTCAGTTATTGATGTAATTCGTCACTTTGAGGGTTATGAATGGGAAGAATGCCTGGGCTATTGTGTTTCTTGAGCATAATGAGGAAGATTTAAAGTTTATGCAACGGGTGAGTGGAGCTGAATTTTGAATTTAAGAATGATTGTGGAAATTTATAAAACTTGACTATAGTAGTATTAATATTGAATTTAAATCAAACATTATACCAGAGACTAGTGCCATAGCAACAACAGTTTATCTGGAAGCGTTTTGTTTATTTAAATGCTGTGAATATGACACATTTTGCACCGTATCGAATTTCCACTATAATATCAAGCATCACAGAATCACATAACCCGTAATTACACTCTACTATATATAGAGATGGACATTTCAAATTGTCCTATATCCTATGCTTTGATCGAATCTCTTCATCGACTTTCTCTTTTGATAGCCACAGCTATGCATTTAGTTTTGTTAATTCTGTTTACGGCCAAAAAGTAAATCAATTCTACTTCCCATACAAGTTAAGTTCCAAATTGAGGAAGAACAAACACTTGCTAATTTTTCTAGATGAACCCACATTTTATCAAAGTTACAGTTCTTCATCTCTCATCGTAAAACACGGATAACCTCATAAAGCAGAAAGATTCCTATCGCCTAAATTCTTTTCACTTTTTACGACCTTATTCCCCTCACAGAGCATTTTAGGAATCTAAATTGCCCTAAACACCTTGCCCTACCGTCGTTCTATAGCTTCCTCCTGCAAGGAGGAAAGAATTCCATCCGTTACCCCCGAGAAAGCAAAAAAGGGCAACCAGGGACAGATTGAATGGGAATTATCATAAAAATTCATCCGATACGATCGGATTTCAATTTGTCGCTCGCTACTTTACTCTACCTCCCTGGAGTTCCTCCAACACTTCATCCGCCCATCCCATTCAGTGCCCTCGGTGAAGCGCTGAGCAATCATCACGCGACGATCGCTCAGCTCAACTCAACTCAGTTCAGCTCGAAACAAATGATTATTATTTTTATATAATTTTTTACCCGACACCCTCGACAAACTCAATTATGCTGCGATGGGCCACCGACCGAGCGTACGTCCACGACCCCCTCCCCCCAAACCCGTACGAGCGACGACGGGTTATTTGCATAACACTCGATGCGCTCATCCTGCTCTATGGGGATGTCATCAAATTTGAATGCCCGAGTGCTCTTTTTTCCTCTGCCCTGACTGTCGCCATATTGAAAAAAAAGGTAAACAGTACTGCTTCATCATTGCATTATAAATATTCCAGGTGGAGGGAAAAAAAGTGCAATCATTATTTTTTCGCGGAAACCTCATTAAATTGTTGAGTGAAATTTAAATTGCAAATTAGCACGGCGTAGATCGCGTGGGCTCTTTTTCAGGACGAAAATTGGACGACATGAAAATTCATGAGGAGTATTTCAGTGATATTTTGCTGCTACCTATCGTAATGAAACTTCATAGAAGGTCTTATTCTAGTTGATTCAAAATTCATCGTTTGAACTCAAATAAGTAAGTAAGGTCAAATCTAATAACTGCAGGATATGATTTACTTTGATTTAGTAACTAGTTAGAGTCAATCAATACAGACGATCCTTCAAGCAATATTATGTAATTTGGCTACAGTTTGCCAGTTATGGTTGGATTATTATTAGGGTTCAAGAAAATTCCTCCCAAGTTGGACATTTCAACTGTTTAATGATTAAAGCTCTTACAACACATGTCAAACACTGTTCGAGTTATAACTAGTCCTACATTCCATTTACTTCAACCAACAAGGGACATACCTTCGGGAAACACCTGGCGCATCTTCAGGTACGAGGTAGTTAGTCTAATGATGGAAGCCTTATCGAGCTGCGACGTGATGGCACTCGGCAGCGGGAGCAGTTTGGCCAGCTCGAGAAACTCGGCGTTTTCCTTCTCGCGCCGGGAGCGGGCCGCATTCTTGCTCTTCTCCTTCATGGCGCAGCGTGTGGCAAGACCTGAAAAACACAATTAGGTGCACACATTACATTTAATATTTAAGCGAATGTTGTGTCAGAATAATTAGACCGAATGTGGTCATAGGAAATAAAAACCGATACAGGGCAGCAGCAGAAGCACAAATTAATAAGATTACCAAACAACACACAAGCTGTCGATTATTGAACTCTGTTCTGAGTAGGGAGTGATTGTCGTTTCGGGGTGAACTAATACAGCGCGGGCTAATTTGCTGATCTCGATTTATGGGGAACTAATTTTTGTTTGCCGAGCAAATTGGTTCAGGCAGTCAGCCAGTTTGTAGGAAGCATAAAATCTAATTCGACGCTATAGCTTGTCTGGCGACAATTATGCACGATAACAGTGCTATTAATAACGCGTATGTAGTTTGACTCTGTAAGCCATTCGAAATGTGTCTGATCTTAGATTATTATAGTCCTAATCTTCTAGCTCGATATAGAAGGTTTATAGTTCACTCAAGTCTTTGTTTATGCGAGTTTTTTTTAAAGATGATTTCATAGATCGGACCGTGATCCGAATGTCATTAACACTTCCACCTGAAGCTCTTCATTAAAATTATGGACGACTGTCACCAGGAAGTTCAAAATCCGTTCGAATCGATCAGAGCTCGACCAAATAGTCAAATCGACGTAAGCACATTTGAAAAAAGTTTGCATCTATCGTCAATTTATCGACTCTGATAGCTCGCCTACCAAGGGGTAAGTCACTCAGCACAGTGTGCCAAAAACAAAGTAGGACACACCATGGCACACTCATTGACACTTTTTGGCACCCATGGTACATTTTTTTTATGATATCTAAAGAAACTGGCATCACTGCACTATTTCTGCGCCTAGTGCTACTGGACGCTTTGGTCTGAAGTGTTCTGGAGTCGTTTTTGATTGGATCGTATGTAACAAACGTTAACAATTTGACATTTAATGCTACCAGACACTACTCTACTTCCTTTCCCTAGAGGCAAAATTTGGATCCGCTACCTCAATTTTGTTTCATTTGGTCATCAAAAAACGATTTGACGTATGTGCCAACCGATCAAAACATAGCTCAATGTTAAATACAACACCTAACTTCTATAGAGGCGTCAATCGTCGTATGTAACAAATTATACAGAAGCGTAAAAAACTGTTCATGCGACCTGTTGTTTTTCCTAATAAAAGTGCAAATTTAGCAAATCTTAAATGTAATGGTAATTGGTGGTCCATAGAATGATAGCTACGCTTTCCGTGAGATATTCGTGGAGATATTACTAATTATAATACATTTTTGAACCATTAAAATGCGCACGGTCGAATGTAACACAACGGCATGCAAAAGGTCGAATAATATGGATTGGTGAAAAACGTTTATTATTTTAACAGGAACGCTATCAATAGCTTTCTCAGTCGTAGGTACTTATGTTAGTAAATGGGAATTTCATTGAAAATGGAACCATTTTTTTGTTATCAAAGCAATACACCTCGTTTCTCTAATTGACAAAAGTGTTACATACGACCCAATCAAAAAGGACTCCAGTGTTCGTTCCGCTCGTTCCATTCTCAGGTTGCCAGCACCAGCACCACCATCGCCATTCTCATCCTTATCGTCAGCATCACCATCCAACATCACCAGCAGTATCTCACTATCATCTGTATCGAAATTGTCTTCTAGTAGTAATAAAGCCAATCCGATCGCCATCGACCAGACTAATGCACATTCCGTTCGGTTCCCTCAGATACAGACTAGTGAGACCGGTGGAATATTCATCTCTCTGCTGGAGATATCGTCAGCAGGGTTGAAAAAATCACCTGCATTAACTATGAAATAAATGTTTCATCCAAAGTGAACTTTGATGAATTTTAGTGATTTTTTCAGCCCTGATCGTTAGACCAATCTTCCAGTTCCAGCCCGGAGTAGCGGTTGCCTGTCAACACTTCCGGATTGCAGTACTCGTTCGTGCCGTAGAAGGTAGAAAAAACTTGCCCTTCCTGAACGAACGTCGCGAAACGAAGTCAATCAGCTTGATATGGAAATTGTGATCGATGATAACGTTCTCGTCTTTGATGGGACATCCGGACACCGGGACGGTGCTGAATGTTCAACGAGTGCAGGAAAGCAACCACATCAGCACTCTGTTGAAAGATCCAACAACAATGTTCGGATGCTTCACGTGTGTCAACTGGTACACTTCCAATATCACCAGCAACCTATCCGAGTTCCGGTTGCTCAACTTCACATACCCGTGCGCGCCCTTCCCGATGTTCCTCACCCGCGTGTAATATTTGCTGTACTTTCCGTGGATCAAATCTCCATCGCCCTCCGCACATACGGGTGACGGAACTATGGGCCTATCCGAACGCTACGCTGCAGCAGTATTCTTGATGGGCTGCCCAAGTGAGTTGTCCACCGTACTAGTCACGCTGTTGAACGTTAACGTCAGATTCAGATGCCTATCCTCATCCTGCAGGTTGTTGTAAGATGAATCCGGATCCCGGCTTACCCAGATGCATGGTGTACAGTATGTTGATCACGTTGCTATCGTTGTGAGTCACTTCCCATCCGAATAGATCGACCTGCGTGGTCCACACGGAACCAGAAGCTTTCCAACGGTCGAATGTCGTTTCGGTTGATCTGGCGTTGACGTGACCATTGTCTTCGACAGCTCGTACGGTTTGTCATACCAAAACAAAACATTTGAACTGTTAAAATGCCGGGTTGCCAAACATACAATTACACACTAACAAAATCAGTCCGATGACTAGCACTCTCGGCACAGAGTGACCACCCCTTGTCGCCTACGCAACCTAACACCACCACCTGAGTGATAGGTGAGCTATCATTTTCGATAAATTGACGTTTAAAGCTATTATGTTCAACGGCGATTCGATTATTTGCTCGAGCTTTGTTTGATTGGAACGGATTTTGATAGTGCAACTGGAACTTAGAACTTTTATTGAAGGATTTTATTTTCACCCTCTCACCATCTGCAATTCAATCGTCCCAGGGATGCCAGATTTGAAGATATGTCTTCATTTTGCAGACATTTGAAACTCTGGGAATCCGTTTTAGTCGAAGATATTTTAAAGACATTTCATGCTTTGTGATGTTTGAAGACATGATTAAATTGAAAGAGCCTTATAGAGATTTTTTTTTAAATTTTCCACTGTTTGACAAGACTTAAGCTCATCCGATCAATCGCCAGACGTCACCCGGACAGCGGATCCAAGTCGCCAAGGCGATCATCGACACACGTCTCACTTACTGGATCGAGCTTACATGCATGGCTCGAACGACCCACGTTGAAAAACTAACTCCAGTTATATATCCACACCACTTCCGGCTTGCTCCCGAGCAAAGTCTGAAATCAAATTGAAATCTAAATTTGATGTTGTGATTTTGCTGATAATGATTACTCAGGTTGCTGTAGTTTTGGTCGTTTTAACGGTTAAAATATCAAAATTGAGAGCAAACAAATCTTCCTGTGACATCACATTGAAAACTATTTCTGCTATCAGTGAGAACTAAATTTGATATCCATTTTTCCTGTTGATAACAAAACAAGTATTCAATTTGAGGTATTGCTAAGGCAATGAAAACAAACCCGCAACAACATATTTTTGAAGAACAAATGTACAGCAAAAAGAAAACAAAATTAGGTATCAAATTTGTGAATTGCGTAAACTGAAATCAAATTATGATTTCAGTTTGATGTTCATATCAAAACTTGATTTCAATTTGCTGTCATTTTGATGCTGGACTTTGCTCGGGAAAATTGTCAATTGCGTAAACTGAAATCAAATTATGATTTCAGTTTGATGTTGATATCAAAACTTGATTTCAATTTGCTGTCATTTTGATGCTGGACTTTGTTCGGGTCCCGGGCCTGACCGCAGGTGTCGAGGGAGGCGTTCTAACCTTCGACAGACTCAGCACGCTGACTGTCTGTCGCCGAGCCGTCAGCTTTGTAGAGAAGCCAACCGGATCAATTATAGGACTGGCCCTCCTGGAGAAGGCTAACTACCTTCTCGCCAGCACTGCCAAGCAAGCCCTCCCTCCAGTGTCCAGGGTCCACTGGTGTAGAGCCAAGAGTTGGAATGTGCGCAAAATATCCATGGATCAAACTATCAAACACACCTTCAAGGCAGATACCAATCCCCTCACCGTCACCCAAGCACACAAAGATTTAATTAAACGTCGATACAGAGATCAGATGATACGGTACTCTGACGGTTTGGTATACCGGGGATATCCGATTGCGAGGTAAGTGTATGCTACCGCCTTCCCGATCAATGCTGAGGCCACCCAGCAAACCCATCGTCCTTTTTACAGACTCAGCCAGCGTTACTGCCGCCATCGACGCCGAATACCCAACACACCCGTGGATCCAGCCCATTCTTCAATTCGCTCCACCCGACACCATGGATACCGGACAACGTTGAAGCCGACCACCTCGCCTCGTCAGGAAGACTGACATCCTTGTATACACGCAATGTCCCTGGCCTAGACCTAACAAGCTGGATCACCCGAGTCATCTGGGAGGCTTGGAGCAGGGACTGGCTAAACTCCCGGGATCTGTTCATCCGCAAAATTAAGGGACCCAGCTGACCACCGCTCCCAAGTCGTTCTCTCCAGACTGAGATCCGGCCACACCTATCTCTCTCACAACATCCTAGGAAATGTTGCATTCCATAAGTCCTGTCCAGCATGCCGACCCCAGCCGCTCAGCCGCTCTACTGAGTTTCCTCCGAAAGGCAGGCCTATTTCACCGGATTTGAGCTCCACGATAACCCACCCCCGCCGACAGCCACACGATCTCGACTATCAAACACGAACAAACTGCCCACCCCAAAAGACACTGATCTTCGCAATGAGAACGCGGTCCAGAAAATCCCCGACGAACGCAACGAAGTAGGACACCCCCAAACCAACAGGCCGGCACCACAGTGACGACAGCCAACCTACGACAGCTAATTTATCTCAAGACAGTTTAAGGGTCTCCCTTCGG